CCTTTTCTAGGCACATGAGGCGCAGAAAGCAGACCCAGAATTCCTGTTGAGGAGATGGCTTACGGTAGAAGCTGTACGTGCAGGGCCCTGCTCCGATAGATCGCTGTGAGGGGAGGGAGGAACGGGTCCAGGGTCCCACCGGAGTGACTCCTGCAGCACTGACACACAGGGTGTGGTGCACCCTTGGTGCTTTCTGGAAGCAAGTGATCATGTTAAGAGTCAAGTGGAAAGCTGGGAAATCAGACTGAGTATCATCTCTGTGGAGATGTACATGTTTAGGGTGAATGGATGGTAAAGTATGAAGGCAACAGAGAGAAACTTTTTGTGTTAATCAAGGATGCACTCTTTAAAGTAAAAAAACCCTCAACTAACAAACCCATATTCTCCCCTGGAATAATGAGTGCTTCCTATTGGAGTAAGTTTTAAAATCTCACTTGTCACACTAGCTCTTCTAGTACACTAGCTGTTTAATTGAGTTGTGTAATTACTGAATAAGTAATTAAAAAATTGCCATGTGATCTCATTGGGAATATATTTCTCTGTTGAAAGGAAGGTGAGTTTTAATTAAACCTCTTTTAATGAAACCTTTTTTTTAATTTAACAATGTCAGTACTTTGCTGCTTAAATACTTCTTGAAGTAATAAGGTAGAAAACTTGAAAATAAAAGTAGAAGAAAATGCATCAGGGAGTATAAATGAGATCTGGAACTGTGAGGATTCTTTAAATTCATGATAATGACTTCATTACTATTTTAAACAAGGCACTAAAAAATTACACTTAAATGTAATTCGGTGCAGTAAGTTACTTGGAGCAGTGCTAGTGAATGTTCTGGAAGTTACTATCTCAATAATAATGACCAAGGGGAGCTGTACAAGGTAAAAATAATGCTTCCATGTTATTAATATGTTTTCAATTGTGATTAATGGATGTGGATTAATTCAGGTTCCATATTTTGATTAAAATAAGATTCTGCCTAGCTGTCTGAGGAAATAAGGCAGTGGGTTCGTCTCTCATGAAGAATAAGTAATGGGAATGAGTAGGGAATGGAGGAGAGGAGGGAAACATCAACAAAAGAGCCAGAGGAAGTCAGGGGCAGAAGCATTTTAGGCTTCTTACAGGACCCAGTCACTAAAATATGTCACTAATAGGGTGCAGATTTTGACAAGATGAGAAACAGGCATAACCTCTGCAATCAGACATCTGAGACAGGACCTGTCTGTGAAACCCTGGAGACAGTCAATGTGGCTGCATGTTTATAACCAGGCACTGGCAGGTTTTATGGAACAAACCACCCCTGAGGGGAATCTTGCTATGAACGTAGCTAATTCAGCTAGAGGCTGAGGAGTTACAGGGAAAGATGTTCTTTCTGGGTCCTTTGGGGGGATGCTGCAAGAGGCTCCATGGGTTGAGTGAAAGCCTGTGCCAAAAGCAGAAGGATCTCAGTGGTGGTAAGATTTCTCATTATATGTTGTAAGGAAGACCTCTGCAGCACATCTTTATGCTCTGAGCTTTGCTAAAAGTTCTGCTGTAGAGCACTGGAGGACACACACCATCAAATAAGGGAGAGGCAGCTCTCTGTGGCAGTTTGTCTGTGTAAGGGACTGACTGGGCGTAGTCTGTGAGGGAACATATGCCATGGTGAGTAGCACCACACCTAAGGGTTGTGGAAAGATTTTCAGCTGACCAGTTCCTGCTTCTGTCCTGTCCAGCAGGTTGCTCTTTTCCTGTCATTCCTGAACATGATCACCAGGACAAACACAGACTATAGAAAGCATGGTTAGTTATATGTGGGTAAATTCTGTGTAATTAGAAGATTATTCAATTGACACTTGGGTCTGATAATGTGTATTACAAAGTTCTGAAACTGTGGCAGTCACTACTAACATGAAAAATAATCAGCATTACAAAACTGAACTGAGAGGGTAATCTATCACAGCTACTTATTCTTACTTCATGCAGAAACTCTTTGTCCTGAGTTGCCACATAACTAGTGATCCAAGTTAAGCTCATAATCACATTCTTATCATTACATGCCTCTCAGCAGCAGCCTTCTCACACTGGAAAGCTGAGTCTGCTAGAAATAGCTAAACTGTTTGCTGCCATATCCATCATACACTTATGAAGTCCTCTACAGTTGTTAATTTTAAGTAATGGCAATAATTTATTATCTGCTTTGCTGTTAGGGCTGACAGAAAAGTAGCAGAACAGTATCAGCCTTTATTTTCTTATGTGAAGAAGAATGTGGTTTTATTGCAGGCTTGTTACAGTGTGCAGTGTTACACATGCACTTGTACAGGGAGAGGACACAAACACTGCGTGAAGGAACTATGCAAATGTATTTATCCACTTGAAATAGTTAGATACCTTTTTCAAATGACAGGGAGTGAAGTGAAACAGGGGAATAGGGAGCATCAGTAGGAACATGCCTGCTTACAGAAACCTGCTTAGAAGAGGAGCCAGGGAACTTAGGTGCATAGGAAAAGCCTTCCCTTTCTCATTTCCATTCCCTGTGTGTCTGGCTCCACCTTAAAATCCATACAGTGCTGAAGTGGCCATATATGTGGGCCTAGTCTTTCTTCCTAGTGACAACACCTTTGTAGGTATGGTAACTTCTGCCCAACCCAATACTCTGAGAAAGTCTCTCCATAAAACATTTTGTGTAGGTTCAGCCCAAGGGATAGAACTTACAGAAGTTTTCAATTAAAAAGCCCCTTTCTCAACTGTCTCCACAAACAAAAAAAAAACCTCTTCGAAATAGGATCTGTGAGCCGCGTGACTTGGGTTACTCAGCATTGTTGGATGATAACAAACTGCAGCTAGGAAACAGAAGTGCTTCAGGCTTCCAGAACTTGTGTAGTCAGGGGTCTCTTGCCATTTAAGGCACTTGTTTGCGTTTCTGTGGGTGTCTCTTCTCCCCTTCTTCCCTTCCCCCATATTCAGAACAAACCAAGAATCTCTTGAAATAATGAAATATAATTTATAGCTTCACTCTGTGTAGTTTATGACAAGCAACTGCATGGTCTAATTTAATAAATGATATGCTGTAATTACAGGCTTTCCTTTTCCTATTAGCTCTTCCCTTTTGTGAGTCTGGCACTGAATGAAGGTGAGGAAGCAGAGCGCCTCGGGGAAGGGAAGTAATGATGACAACTTTGGAATGTTTTTAAATTGACTCCCACCAGCTCTCATGGTTTTGATTGCTGTTGTAAGATTCCTTCTCCATACAAGGCTTATGCATCAGCAGAAAATGCATTAAGGATTTATTGCTCAACATGAAGTAAACAGGGTTTGAAGGGTTGAATTCTGGTGTTTTTCTTCCCTCTGTAAAAAGAGGAATTAAAGACCCAAGAAAACACCCCATAAACCACACTCACACATTCCCAGGAGTCTTAACCCATACACAGATGGTAGCTATAGCACAGCAGGGAGGAAAAATATAAAATACAATTCTGTACAAATTGTTAGATTGGGATATTAACTTTGTAAGGTATTCCTTCTCATGAATACAATGGGTATCTTCTTTTGAGGCATGTATAAAATGTTGAGATCCACAGCCAATTAGTTCCAACTACACAATGATTTTTTTTCTGTTCTCTTGAGGTTTTTTTGTGTTTTGTGTATGCTGACCACTATCATTAGCAGTTCTCATCTCTGGGGCAGGCCCCATAATGCCTTGAATGAGCATCAGTACCACAAGTACAGGCCGCACTGTGGGAATGGAAGGAGATGCTGTGAATGCAAACCCTAATTGTTCATGTAAGTGGACAGCAGAAATGTTACTCAGGACACTTCAAAAACTCCACTTTGTGAACTGTGGCTTCTCCTAGTTTTGACCTGCCCTGGTAGTCTGCTTTACACATTTTTTAGATTGTGGCAGCTTGCCTACACTGCTGTCCCAAAATAAGCTTCCTGAGTGTATATTTAATTTAGTTCTGGAATGAATATGTCACTTTGGAAAGGAAAAGACTTATGTTTCCAGTCACCTTTATTTCACTAGAAAAGTATAAATTACCATCATAAATACAGATAACACCAGTATAAAAATTAGATTCTCATCTATAAAATAAATACTAAAAGTCAAAGCAACAGGTATCTCCAAATCCCATCACCAAGATGATTTGAACCTATACCACAGAAACCATTCATCAACTGCTTAATTAAAAATTATGTTCAAAGTGCAGTAAACACTGCTACCTATTCAGTGCTTGCTGAAGTGAGTTACTACTGACTCAAAGCCTGCAAAGTATTTGTTCTGGCACTTACTTGGAAATATCAGACTCCCCTGTCTGTATAACTCTAGGTGTAGTGTAATTGGATATACTTTCCAGATAATAGCAAGTACTGCTTCAATAGTGTTTCTTACAAGTTGCCAGTGCAGTAGTTTCAGTTTGTTTACCTTTGTCTACATCCAAAGATAAACAGACCAAGTTAATTTTATCCAAGAAGTGCAGAAATAATAGTAGCAATTTTGTCACATCTGAACTAACAGATCATTTCACCAGTTAATATTGTTAAAACGCAGATAAATACAGAGTTTGTTTCATAGAAACAGAAAAATGTTCCTTTTAGTTAGGTAAAGGACACCTATTTTTCAAAAGTAGTGTTTTTTCCCCTCACAAGTACCGTAAATCTTCTGGCTCAATAAGGCCATATTGATCAAGTTAAAAGTACCTCTAGTTCAGAATCCTGTTTGACAGGATAATAGAAGGGGCTTGGGAACAGTCTAGGAGAAATCTCCCTGCAAAGGGACCTTGACAATTTAGAGACGGGCAATCACCAACCGTAGGAAGTTCCACAAGGGAAAGTGCAGGGTTCGGCACCTGGGATGGGCCAACCCTGGATGTACAGACAGATTGGGGAATGAGAGGCTGGAGAGCAGTGCCACAGAAAGGGACCTGGGGTCCTGGTCAGGGGAAAGTTGAAGGTGAGACAGCCCTGGCAGCCAGGAGGAACATCCCTGTCCTGGGGGCACCAGGCCCAGCATCGCCAGCCGGGCAAGGGAGGGGATGGTCCCGCTCTGCTCTGCACCGGGGCAGCCTCACCTCCAGGGCTGGGGCAGTTTTGGGTGCCACAATGTAAAACTGACACTGAGCTGTTGGGGAGGGTCCAAAGGAGGGGAAAAAGGATGGTGAAGGGTCTGGAAGGGAAGCTGTGTGAGGAGTGCCTGAGGTCACTTGGTCTGTTCAGCCTGGAGAAAAGGAGACTGAGGGGAGACATTTTGGTCTTCAATATCACCAAAGGGAGCAGAGGGGCAGGTGCCAACCTCTTCACTTGTGACCAGTGACAGGACTCAAAAAACAACACAAAGCTGAATCAGGGAAGGTTTCGGTTGGTATCAGGGAAAAGGTTCTTCCCCCAGAGGGTGTTAGGGCACTGGAACAGGCTCCCCAGGGCAGTGGTCACTTCACCAGCCTGGCAGAGGTCAAGAAGCTGTTAGATAACACTCCCAGGCACATGGTGTCACTCTTGGGGATGGTGCTGTGCTGGGCCAGGAGTTGGACTCAATCTTGTGCATCCCTTCCAACTCAACAGGTTCTATAATTCTATGATTGTAACAGATCGCCAGGATGCTCTTGCAGCCTCTGGCCACTAATGACACAGGGCTTCCTGATACCTGGTTTCATCTGTACTGTCTAGTGGATTTTTTAATCCACATAAAGTTTGGGCTTCAGAATTCCTGTTTCAGAGAGCCTGAAAGGCTCTACCCAATTACCCATTTTAGGTTTTTTGTTGAGTTTTTTTCTGCTTTGGTACTGCCACTAGTGTCTGTAGTACTTTTTCCTTAGGCACCATTAAGCAGCTCCTTTTCTCTCATAGCTCTTGCTTTCTTTGCTTTCTTGCGTTTACACAGAACCACTGGAAGGACAATGGCAAGAGTGATGACTGCAACTGCTATCACTGCTAGGATGATAAAGACTTCTGTTCCATATTCTGTAGGGGAAAAAAAATCCAAGACTCAGTTATCAGAACCCACAGTGCTACAAACTCTTAGCACTCATTTCACTGAATGAAAAAATGCTTTCTATGTTTTACAGTCTGACAGAAGTGGAGTCATCACTTCAGTGTGAACTAAATACATTTTTACATGAATTTGTTGAACTGAAGTAAAGCTTTATTTTACCTGGTTCACATTAGGATTTAATCTAGTTTAGTTAGTTCACAAGTACCATGCTAACACCATAAGAATAAGTCTAACCATTCCCTCTGCCTGTACATTGTTTCTCTCCAACTGAAAATCTATTCTAGGTTATAATTAGAAAATACCAAGAGAAGATGTTTCTATTAAATTGTAATGAAGTTGCAATTTATCACTTTTGTGGTAAATTTTCTGGATTTGAGTTCATTTGCCATTTTAGAAGAGCTTTTCTAGAGTGCAAATATTCTTACCCAGGGAGAAGAAAGATACAGTACAGCAATGTGATATTATTTAAGTCATACTGATGCCTTTTTATTGAAAAAAGTGATATCCAAATGTCTAGTCTAAAATGGCTGGTTGATTCACCTACACTTGCTAACTTATCTTCCAGTAAAGAAGTCAATCTGCCAACCTCTGATCTTGGAACATAAAAGAAAGTCTTATTCTCATCATCTGCTTTTGGCATAACTAAAGGTCAGCTCATACTACAAGTAAATGGATATGTGGTTTTCCAGCATTTCTATATTTTAGAGCTAATCCTTCAAGCACTTACTATGGCATCTGCTATTGGAAGGATCTGAGGAAAACAGAGAGAAAAATGAAGCTGAAGGCTAGTGATGAGATCTGGAACCTCAGACACCAGTCATCAACTTGGACAATTTAACCATAACAGTTGGGCAAAACCCTAAAACCAGCTCCAACCAGCTAAAGATGGTGGACTCTTACTTAAAGTGAGTTCTTCTCATGAGTTTTCATGTTCCGACTGTGTATTCTAATTTACACAGTAAATAGTTTATAGCAGGCATCACAATTTAAAGAAGTTTTTATTAGAATATTAAAGACTGAGTGACAAACATCACACAATACTCACCATCTAAGATATTCTTTCCTCCACTGGTACAGAGCACCATGCTTTCTTGGCCATTACGGTTTTCTCTGCGGGAGGGAACGATTCCCTGGACATAGAAGCAATAGTTCTTTCCACTGTCAATGTTTACTTCAAAATTATGGCTTTTTGTTGTTACATCTTTCTGTAAAGGAAAAAAATATTTCAAGTGTCAGCTCTTAAGGTAGCACAGAAATTGTGTAACAGAATATAACAATTATTACAGAACAAAAACTAGAGTTAGACCTTACCTTTCCAGAACTTCCATCTTTCCAGTAATAGAGTTTGTATTCCAGGTCATGCTGGAAAATATCTTGAATACTTTGAAAGCTTCCATTAGGAAATATGTATGGTGTAAGTGGATCTTTGAACACAACATTCAGTTTGGAACCTTTTTGTGAATAATCCTTTATCTCTGGTTTTCCAATCACAGCTAAACAAAGATTTTTAGAATTAAAAAACTTACATCATCTTTTATATAGGACATGTTATTTTTCCTTCCTCCCTCCATTATCTTCCTTCCTTAAATCTATTACAAGTTTACAAAGCCAGTGAATTTACCTGCCTATATTTACCTGGTGCATAATATTAACTATATGGTCTACTCAGTGCAGTGAGAAACAAATGGTAACTAAATCTTACACCCTCCCCTACAACAGGAAAAGCACTATGACTGAATATCTTCTCCAATATCAGCAGGGCTACTGTAAGAATCTATAGAAAAAACACTTAAGCTCAATCTAAACCTTGTTTAAATAATCAAAGTTTCTTGAAAATAAATTTATAGTAAGATTTAATTGGTAATCCTACTTACTCTGACTATAAGGTGTAAATTTTTCAGAGACTGCAAAAGGTGGTTCTTCAAAGTTGTCTATCACTGCAGGATTTACAGACAGTATGTGTGCTGTATAGGTCTCCTTTACATTCCCGAGCATATCAGTAACATCACACTCTGTTTCTGATGTCAGCATGCATTTTCTCTTTACGTCAGATGTCCGTCTGAAAAAAGCAAGAAAGAAGTGTCAATACTTTCAAACCATACACACACACACATATATATAATATATTTAGATATGTTGAGAAACATTTTTCCCCTCAAACTGTATAGATGTCTCTCATCTAGTAGAACAGTTTTGCAGGTATTAGGCTAAAAGGAGAACAGAAAACCTCAAAAGCCAGTATCCTGTACAGCTGTATTTCACAATTCAAAGCAGAATCAAGTAAATCAAATATGATTGATGTTAATTACAGAAATATGCTATAAGACTCATATATTAATTAATTCAATCTTTTACCTTAATTGAATAGCAACCATAACTAGTGCCGATTTTGCATTTTTCTGCACTTGCAGAATGTATTTTAAAAAATATAAGATGCATAAATCAGGTGTTATCCTTGATGCATTTGAAAACTATTACCTTAAGAAACATCAGTTGTTATAGGAAGCTTTATTGACACTGATTGTTTAATGTGACAACAATGTCTCCGTGTAGGTGCAATTCGGTTTTTTATCTATGCAAATGCCACTAAGAACCACACAGTAGTAGCAAATTTTAGTGCAGAATTGCAATTTAAAAACATTGACAAAAAGCATGACCCATGATGCACTTCTCTGGATTTTAAAATTATAGAAGGCAAGTCCATTTACTTGTGAAATAGCAACGAGACTATGAAAAAAGTGTTACTTTCTCATTTTACTTCCTCACAAGGAACGAAGAAACAGATTAGATATTACTCCTTCAAGTCTTTTCCCTCTTTTTGCTGGTGAATTAAGAAGAACAAAAATTGTGTGATCTCAGCCGGAAGAGTGAGTGCTGACTGTTTGAATATTAACAAATAGGTCTTCCTCAAAGTAGATCAAGTTTCATTTTTTAGAGTCACCCAAACTCCCTTCTCACTTCATCAGATTTCTTTTGTCACATATCAGTTAGAGACAGTGCCACAAGAGGTGCACTGAAAAGGGACAGAGGTTTGATCTTTGTGATGAAACAAATGTACTCTGTAAATACACATACACAAGAAAGCAAACATTTAATCCCATTTCCTCCAGAGGAGCAGCTTCAGTCAAAAGAGGTGCCTCGGCTGCAGAACTACACCTGATTCTATACTGAATCTTGGGCAAATTTATCTCAATTTTTTGCAAGCAAAATGTCTGGAAAGAAACACCAGATTAAAAAATTCAATAAAACTTGTTCTTCTAAGCATGTGCTTTTAAGTACTTTAATCTAATCACTCTCTTAAAGAATGGAAAAGCACATTAAGCCATTACACTGGTATTTTACCTGTTAGTCATGAGAGAACACTCATTTTTATGCCACTTTTAGAGACAGTAGAGACTACAGTACCAGTTTTTCATTAATACATAGGAATTTGATGATGTGTTTTCCCTTCAGGGCATGTTTAATAATGCTCTATGTATTAAAATGGGAGCTAAAACCAGCACAGATTTATTACTGGACTTCATTGAAGGTTTTGTGCAATTCTGAAAGAGGCATTGGGCACTTCACATAAGCTGGCTACGTTTTATATTCACAGTATCTTACAGTTTATATAAAACATATCAGAGCAAGTCTTGACAGAGGTAGACGAACAAAGGTAATTTTTAGTACTACCCAGCAAGACAAAATTATTAATTACTGTGATTCACCAATTAGAAATAAAATGCAGACTCATTTATTAGACGCCTCCCAAGACTGAAGACACAAGTCCAGACACCTTGAAAGACATAAAAAGGTGAAGTTCTGTCTAATACATGGTATGCCAGATTGAGTATCAGCTCCTTCAAAGTATCCTGTCTGGGTCTCTTGAGCAGCACTGAAATCCAGAACTGAAATACTGATCTAAAGCTCATCTCTTCATTTCTGAAGTGGGCAAAAACAAGACTAAGCCTGATATTTTTATAGTTGGACACTGAGAAGGATTAACAACTGGGTTGGTAATTTTCCTAATTCCTAACATTTGGGCACTTTTCCTGTTACATTCACTTTCAGAAATATACAAACACGCTCTCTTTTCGTTTTCTTCAATTGCCATTAATGAACATATCATGGTGTTATCTACTTACCCGTGTATTTCTACAGTATAGGAGTAGCCTGATGGTTTTGGTTGCCACTGTAGTATAGTTTTAAAATTGATTGAAGACCAAGTTATATTGACTGCTGTTGGTGGTGGTGGTGGTTTTTCATAGTCTTTAAATACAAAACAGAAAAGAGTGCCATCAGTCATATTTTATATAATTCCTGTTTCCCTGCAGTGATTATTCAGTTAAATGAAGCAGTTGCCGTTAATTGCAACTTGGAAACGTTTTCTTGGGGGAAAAAGGCTCAGTCCTGCCCTTACAAAAGGACTGCTCATCTTACTAAAGGAATGTGTCCTGGCAGAAGTGAAAAATGAGAAGAAAATTCTTTTCTGTCTTGTAACTCCAAAATAGATAAATTAATTTGGAACTCTGTTTAATGCTTCCTTTTTGATTTACCTTTGCAGAAGGTACAAAAGCTTGAACATGCACTAGAATGTTCGAGCACTGAACAAACGAGGCACAGTCCAAAATCATCCTTAGTTTTACCTGCTGCAGAAAGCGTTAGCTCCTGGATTCCCATTTACATATTTTAGAAAGATAAAGTCTTTTTAAAAATCAGTGGTTACCCTACACACCTACAATATCTGAGAGGGACCACTCCGGGATGAGCTCGTGTCCCCCTCAAGCAAATGGGAGGCCAGCCACAGCTGCTTCGGGGAAATGCCTGGGAAGAAGCCGGGCGGGAAAATCCCTCTCACCCCTGTAACCTCTGGAAACCCTTCACTGTTTACTTCTCCACCTCTTCCACAAGCTCGGAGCTGGGAACGAGGGGAGGAAATCTTGCGACTTCACTGCAACTGCCGACCCCCGAGGCCGTCCCCGCTCCCCAGCACGGCCGCGGCCGGTGAGGAGCCCGCAGTAGCGATCAGCCTCGGTGGCCCGAGCCAATGTCGCTGTCCCCTTCCCGCCAGCGCGGGGCGGCTCTCCTCGGGCTCCCTGAGGGACACGCCGTCCTGCGGCTCCGAGGGACCGATCCCGGCCCCGATCCCTCCCGTCCCGCCCGTCCCGCGGGCCGTCACTCACCGGCGGCGGCCAGGCGCCAGAGCAGCGCGCTGAGCAGCAGCGCCTGGCGCGGGGCGCTGAGCAGCATCCTGGCGCGGAGAGCGAGCTGCGGAGGGCGGCCGCCGCCGGTATATATGGAGCAGGGCAGGGCAGAGGCGGGACTGCGGCCTCGCCCCGGGGCCGCCCAGCGGGGGCGAGGGGACCGGAGCGCGGCGGAAGCGCTCGGGCACCGCCGGGTTGAGCAAGCACAGCGGGGCATCTTCGAGGAAAGGGAGGGGAGGGGCGCTGAGGGACGGAACTGTCCCGCGGGCTCCGGCCCCGCCACCGCCGCCCCCGGCGCAGGCCGAGCGGGACGTGAGGGCACACCTGGACATGCCTGCGGTCCGTGTCCCCCTGCCTGTTTGGTGTCACAGGGCACTTGTACCACCCCCCCCTTCTCCTCTTGGAATACCGGTGAAACGACACCGCTGGCTAGACAGCTACATCCGCTGCAAACCTTTAGCTGGCTGCCGAAGGACGCCTCAGCTCGGAAGTGGCTGCTCTGTGGGGCAGCTGGTCATGCAGAATTGATGTTGGGTTAATTAACTTTGATCCCGTACATTCTGGAGGGCCAAATATGTCAGCCCTTGCTTCAGCACGCGGGACACTGGACACAAGTGCTCAGCTAGATCACGTCCTCTGTCCCCTCACACCGCGCCTAGGGAACCCTGTCAAGGCTCATCGGTCACGCTAGACAGAAAGTAAGTTTCTGGTTTTCAGGGCTTAGTACCTCACCTCTCCTTTAAACCAGGGGCTGTTAGCCCTTTTCCTAGGTCACACTGGGAAGATATGCCATATTCAGAGGAACAGGGTATTTGTTTCTGACAGAAGGCTTTCCGAATCTCAGCCTTTGCGCCAGGCTCCTGGGCTGTGCGTGGCGACCCCGGTGTCCCCTAAAGCCTTTACCCGGGCGGGGGCCGTGGCCCTGTGCAATGCTCAAGCTCTAGAGGGAGCTGTGCTCGCAGGAGCTCAGGACTCTGCCGCTGGAAGGTGGGAAGCAGATCGTGCAGTAGAACCTGTGTCATAATTCAGGGGGACATACTCATGTACAGTCTTAGACTGACTCTTCTGTTTATTTTGATGCTGACTTGGTACAATGTACATGGAACATGTAGGTAAAGAGAAGAAGGGTAATGGGGAAGTTTATATTAATTTACCTTTAATTTTCATGATTGACACATACTTGTCTGCAAGCAATCAGTTCTCTCTCATAATGCAAAATAAATGCATGTGGAACAAACTACATTATCCGTTCAACCAGATCTGTATCAGGATTCTTATAGTATATTCTAAGGCGCACCTAAACCCTTGATTTTTAAGTTGTTGACATACCTTCATTAAATTCCAGCCATACACGTTCTCATCTTCCTGCTTTGTTTTTGATCAAGTTTCAGCACTGTCTGTATGTAGCTGTATGCCAACATTACATCAGCCAAAAATACTGCATGCTTTTAACTTGGTGTAGAATACAGATCTTGTGTGTCTAGCTTTTCAAGATGGTGACTTTACAAAATCACAGTTGATTTTCAAAGGACTTTGAGAAACAGTATTCATACATTTAAAGAAGGAGATGCTTATATAAAACATTAAAATAACCTTTAGGCTTTAATTCCACTTAATTTCATGTAGCTCTCAGTCACAAAAGATGGAAAGTTAGTCAGTGGTTGTTTCCAGTTTTTATGCAGGTAATCTCAAGATCCCCTTCCCCTGCCCATTCCTTCTTACTCACACCTTTTCTGTCAAGAGCTCAAACACTTGAGACAGGTGAGGAACCATCCAAACCTTGTCCAGATTCACCAGTGTGACCACTGCAACCTTATTCCAGTTTCCAGAAAGGTATTTTAATGTGCACTGACACTAGGCTCTTAGATGTCCTTCTCCTTGCTGCAGCACAAGAGAAGAAGGATGTCAGTTTGCCAGAGTACATTGTTTAAACCAGCTTAACTACCAGCTGAGGGGAACTGTGTGGTTAGAAGAAACAGGATCATTTTACCGAGGTAGATATTCTGAGGGAAGGAGGTTGAGGGGAAAATTTGAAAGATGGAGGGAAAAGAGAGAATGCAAAGGGGCAAGTGTAGCCAGATCAGGTTGGCAGGGCAAGGGTTTGATGGGAAAGGGAGAAGCACTAAGGCGAGGAGCTGCTGCTGCCACCTCTGCTCTTCTTTCTTTGGCCAAGAGCAGATTTGACCACAGAATGAGAACTGCTCAGCACTGCCTGGCTCCAGGCACCAACCGTCGTGGGAGAGGAGGGGAACCTCACACAGCCTGACACAGGCTGATGCCTCTGAAGTCTGCTCAGCAGCCAGTGACTTAACTGTGACATTCTGGTCACATTTCCTGACCACTTTATGGCATTTCAACAGTTCATTTGACACAGAAAAATTGTGCCTTATTTCTAACATATGTTGCTACATGCAGGCGAGCCTTCTGCTGACGAAAAACTCTGGCAGTTTGTCTAGAAACTTAGTATTTGGCTCCCAGAGTGGAATGCCAAAGTGTAGGCATCGTCTCTGTACGTGTCTCTAAGCCATTTAGTCATCCTGTGCTCATTTTACAATCAACAGAAAAAAATTCATTCCTAAGGTGAAGTACAAATTTTCCTAGTATAGGCATTTAAAGCAAGTCAAATCATTTTTTTTCAGTGTTGAAATAGATGGAACATTTCTATTGATGGATATTAGGATCTTGCTGTGACTTCTTAGAATACGTGGGAGACATGCAAGAGCACAAGCCTGGCTGCACAATTTAGTTTAGATGACCTCTTCCACTCTTTGACATCTTCAGTCTGGTGACCTGGGTGGAATCATGGTTGCTCCCCTCTCAGAAGGTTTGCCAGAATGCAAGCGGATTCTACAGATTTTCTTTCCTTGACATGTATGCTATGGAGCCAATTGATTATGGGAAAAGTGAGGAGAAATGCAAAACTAAATCTGTGAAACCCCATTTTTTAAAAAGAGATGCATGTATTTATTTTTACCGTATGACCTGCCAAGTCTCTAAACTGGTTTGCTTAGAGAGAGCTACAAATAATTCTTTGCTTAGCAAAGCAATTGCCACATCATATTTTCTGTACTGTCATATATAGTTATTGAAGTGGAATGCCTCAGGTGACATGAGTGACAGATTGGTTTCTTTACGTTGATGATTTTGCAAGACTGTAGGTGAAGTTTTGTAATAGTTATTAATGTTTTGAAATTTTATAGTGTTAAAAAATGTTAATCACTCCATGCTAACATACAAGTCAGCAATATCATCATACCCAATAACGTAAAATTTACTTGTGTGAGCAGGATTTGAAATCACTGGGAACTTTTTTCACAATGAAATTGCTCCTGATATTTATCTGGGATGTAAGTCTTTGTTTAATTTGTCTTAGTGATCCATATGATTGGGTAAATAATGTAATTATACAACTAATGATATTTCATTAGAAACCCCAAAAGTTTAGGTAAAAACCTGTGACCTTGTACCTGCTTCCATAAATATCTTAGCATTTCTCTTGCAGAGCTGCTTTATCAAATACTGTGTTATAAATGCATACACAAACTCACAAATAAATACCACTGAGAAACAGTATTTGTAATTAAGAAGACTTGTATAATATTGTAAAATTAATTACTAAGGTCTCTCTTTGATGCACAGAAATTTAATTAGTATAGTCTCCCTTTGTTGAGAAAAGTCATTAAACCAGTTTCATGGAGTGAAGAATCAATATTATACCTAAAAGTTGCTGTGTTTATTCCTGAATTCCCCATACCAATGAAAGTTCCAGTATGGTAAATTCCTTGTGAATCCCTGATTTTCTTACTATCTAAACTATCATAAATTTTTCTGTAATTCTAAAGCTACCTTGTGATTTTATAAAGTCATGTGTAGCTTAACAGAAAATAATAAAGTTTCACTGGGATGGAACTAGTTAAAAATTTAAATAAAATTTTGACATTAATGGATCTTACTTTCACTTGTTGAAAAAAAGAAATGAATAAGCAAAATTTGATAGAAAAATTGAAATTAGCAAAATTACAGGGTAATCACAAATACAATATGTTTGATTTCTACTATCAACAATATTATTGTTGATAGAAATCCTGATGCAAATATTTGTATGTTTTTCTGATATTCTGCTTTCAGAATTTGTGTTGTTACCACATCGGTCATGTACATTTCTCCTCATTTATCATATGCATATGTTAAAAAGAAACACTAGCAGAGGAGCAAATCTTGTGGGAGTCTTTGGGTCTGGATGGGCTCTGGGATCCTGTGTGGAAATGATGTCTGCTTGGGAGGCAGGACAGGCATCCCAGGGAGGGAGGCTTTGAGCCTTTTCCACTCTGAAAATCCTTGTCAACATTGCTTTGGTGTTACTTCCAAGTTCCTGTTTCTCACTCACAGAATGATGTGTGATGCATTTGTTACCCTTTTCAAAATCTTTTTTCGCAGCACTATTACATGAAAAAGAATTTGGCCAACAAATTTGGTGCATTATATTTCTGTGATCTTCAGTGATGCTTTGGGGTAAATAAGATTGTGTAAATGAAAATTTAAACCATGCTTTGGTTGATCTGGTGCATAGAAGACTTCTGAAAGCGAGTGGCTACAGCAATAGCACAGCTGTGCTGTGAGGAGTGCCAGGGTGCTACTGCAGTGCTGTGAACAGCTGGGTTTGTTTACTAGTGATGTTCTCCTGCTAGAGGACAAGCAGTTACAAAAGCAGTAATAAATGTCACTGCAGCACAACAGAAACTATGGAGATAGAGACATTATATTGTGTCAGTTCCTTCTGTGCCCAGAGCCTTTAGTTTAGCCAAGCCAAAGTGTTACAAGATTGAATCTGTTGTTTGACACCGTGATGCAGTCTGTCTTCCCTTTATTCCAGGTGTTCTGTCCTAAATGTGAAGTATTCTCTTGGGGTATTTAGCTTACCCTGCTATATCTTAATGACATAAATTAATCTTGTGGTTCCTATGCATCTCTCTCTTAAGGTTTATTTTCCCCAAGTGTTGTTAGACACAACTGCAACTACCAGATCTTATTTATTTAGGTTTTCTTCT